GGATTAATGGCCCCGCTTTTCATTTCCTCTCCTTCCAAATTCAGAGACTGGAAAATCAATTTCTACTGCTCATGGAAAAAAAAAAAAGAAGTCCAGATGTGGAAGAAGGTCTCGGGGGCTTTGGTGCAGTGAGGACGCATCGGAAAGATAGTGATCACTATCTGCAGATTCCAGCCACTGGCTTTTGCGCAATGCACGGAGACCTTCAAAAGAATACATTAGGAGAGTGGCCTGGGCGCAATAAAAATTGTCCAACGTTGACCGACACTTATGTAGAGTTAAATCTACAACCTCTCACTGACGCCCCCTCCCCACGTTCACTCCTCATATGGCATGCCTACAGTGCTATAGGCAAAGGTTTGTTGACGCGTCACCATCGCCCCTATGGAGAGCTTGTTGAACATCCCATTCGTGAACCATGGCCCTTAATATGGAGTTGGCTTCCCTCTGCAGCTAGCACATCCTCCACTCTTCTGGGAAGGCTTTCCACAAGATTTTTGAAGGTGTCTGTGGGAATTTGTGTCCATCTATGAGGTCAGGAATTGATGTTGGAAAGAAGCCCTGGCATTCCAACACATCCCAAAAGGTGTCCCATAGGTTTGAGAGCCTATTTCCTACACACCAACTGGTTAAACCACATCTTTATAAAGTTGAGATGGACATCCCATTCCAAAACCATGTCCAATTATATGGAGTTGGCCACTGTTGTGGCTCAAACAGCCTCCACTCTCCTAGGAAGACTTCTCAGAAGATTTTGGAGTGTGTCTGAGGGAATTTGTTCACATTTGTGAAGTCAGATCCTGATGTTGGATGAGAAGACCTGGCTTAAAGTAAGCATTCCAACTAATCCCAAAGGCGTTCAGTAGGGTTTAGGTCAAGTTCCTCCACACCAAACTCATGAAATCATTAAACCATGTCTTTATAGAGCTGGCTTTGTACACAGCGGGCACAGAAAAAAAAAAGCCTTCAGCAAACGGTTACCCTAAGGTCGGAAGGGCACAGTTGTCTAAAATGTCTTTGCATGCTGTATGATTATCTACCCTAGAACAAGTACATGAGCTACTTTTTTTGCAGTATGTCTGTGAAGGTTCTCATTCATTCAGGTTATGGTGGATCTGTCATAAATAAATCAAAAAA